TCCTCTTAAGGTAGAACAGGTATTTCAGCTTACAAGCTACAATATTTTAAATTAACTTGACCCACTATGTGGAAAAGATGGGCCTCTTGCCAAAAGTTAATTTGGAATTCACATTATTCCAAAATTTGCACATAAAATGATGTTTCATGAATTCTGATTATACTCTCACATTTTATGAGTCAAAGTCCATGTAAGTGCAATCTGTCTCTTCTCTATGTGCTATGTATTGAAAACACTGTCCCTCACTTTTTAACATGTAATATAATTTCTTATACATTGTCATGCCACTTTTTCTGCCTCTAAATTTTAGTCCACTTGTCATATTTTCTGTGAAGCTCCTTCTCCATGTGTCTGTCCTTCATTCTTTGTGCTACAACTGTCATATTTCTCACGCTTATTCAGTGTTTGTTTGAAGACCTACGTTGACCATTAGTGTATGAGTTCCTAATGGAAAATGACACTGTTTTATTTCTGCATCACAGTCCTTAACAGAGTACCAGGGGCACAGTACATGCATTGTAAGTTTAACTACTGAAATACCATGAGAAAAATTTAAGCAAATCAAATAGTACAGAAGCATAAACTAATACATAGCTTCCTAAGAGAACCAGGGCTGCTCCTTGCTGTATGGCATTTGGCAATTTAACAAAAAAGGTTTGTAATCAGAGACAAAACCAACAAGAATTAAAGCACACCCCAATTCCCTGACTATTCTTTAAGTAGATTAATCTTTACGAAAACTATCATTGGTTTTCACACAATGACAGCAAACAGCTGAATGGGAAGAAGCATCAAGAATCCGAAACTAAATCAGAAATAGCAATGGATTTCAAATTCCGGTTCTGATTTGTTAATAGTCCTTGTCTTAAACTGTATAAAAAAAGATTTCAAGACCATACCAGAGTACAGGGGAAGTGTGTCATAATTGATTAGTGATGTCTGCCTTGGGTATGGATGGAGAAACATTTATCTACCTGCCAAATATTTCTGATCCCTGTATTAGTTCTGGGCAGATTTTACTTTGTGTTTAGATTCTGAGGCACTATCTGTTACATGTAGAAGATCAAAAGGTCTTGGTCTATATTCTCAGCCTCACAAGAAATACTGCTGGGGAACACCACTGTCTACCTATTCTATTGGTATCTCTGGTCCCAAGACCAGGGACTTGGTTCTGACTTTTTAATGGTCTCTGGCCCAAGTCTTGGGACTGATGCTTCATTTAGACATTCTAATTTTTGACTTTGTCTTTGACTGTGGATTAGTGTCTTTCTGATCTCCTGGTTCCTTGATTTCTGGACCTTCACTTTGCTTGAAATGGGAGTTAATTGATTCCCAAAGGTTCTGAAGTTAAGAATCAAGTAAATATTTACAGGATGTCTTCTGTAAATGGGAAGAAAGTAGTAAGGCTTTTAAAAAGTATGGTTGGTGTCTACTGGCATTTTTCCAGCAAACTTGAAAAGTGAATAGTTCTATGCCCCATTCTAGACCTGTCAAACCAGTAGGTGATTACAGGGTTGGGGAGATATGTGATAATTTGTTAAATTCCTCAGGGGATGATCATGAACATGAACACAATTTGAAGAACCACTGAGATAAGAACCCTGAACTGGCTCAAAGTTTGCCTATAGTTGCCCCAATTCGGTCATTTAGTGACCAAAGGCTCCAGTGCAAATCAAGTTACTTAAGTTTTGTAATGTACTCTGGTTCTGTTATAATATGCACAGAAAAGTGGCCTGTGGGTGCCATTTTAGAGGACACAATTCTTTCTTCAAGCCACTTTCCTTTTTAGCAATTTTCTCTGCCCTTCAATTGCCTCAATCTTTTTCTTTTTCCTCTTCTTACTATCCTCCTATCTAAACAAACACACTTGTACACAAAGGAAGACCTTTGAGAACCTGTGATCCCATTCCTTGTGTATCAAGATCATTTTCCCTTTGTAGAGTGACATTGCACAAAGCATGTCTCCCTGCCTGTGTATAAGGATATGCTGACTTACCTAGAAAGCTCTTCAGGCAATAACTGGCTACAAAGCTCCAGATGAACATATCATCTATAGAATTTTTCAGATTTTGACAGGGTAGGCTGCATGTTCCCTACCTGAAGCATACTTCTTTTCCTAGATGTGCAACTCTCTGTATAGATACAAACACAAGGCAAGCTTTTGCTTTTTATAGAAAATATTCTAGTCCTCAACAGATAGTGCCAGAACAAAATAATGGGATGTTATCACATCACACTGGGCCAGCCAGCTTCCACTGTGCTATTGATGTACCAGTTTTAGTGTGTTCTTGCATCATTACATCACTTAAATATAATTCCTCAATCATTCCCTTGTGGTTACAGTACACCACTTCCATCCCTGGCCACGTGGTAAGATGCTCATTCTAGAAGTCATGGGGTTAACATTGATAAAACAAGATAGCAGTGTCTCCCATATCCTCCTTAATAAAAGCAAAAATAAACTTCATGGGGGTTAATATTTTGCCAAAAAATAAATAAATAAATAAATAAGGAAAAGAACACTGCTTGCTCTTAATGTTGTGCTAATAAATTTGACAGAAGTTTTTACAGATATTCCTAGCATAATCAATATAAATTCAATTTCCTGAAACAGTAAATTGTTATTACTGAACTCACTGCCTAATCTTATTTTTCCTGTTATAACTCTTTGATTTAAAACACTTAAACTGTTAGATCTAAAGAAAAATGAAAAAGCTGTGATTTTGTAGGTTGCTGGCTTGGCAAAAATCCCTTCTGATGTGATCTCTTTGATAATGTGCCACTTTCCACATTTTAAATGCCATAGATTCATGTATACACGCTGGTATTTTCTCATTGGTTGTGCATGCTTCTCTAGCCATATGCCTATAAGTGGATGTGCATTTTCATATAATAACTTACTGTTCCCATTTGGCAATTCTGTGCCTTTAATTGTGTCAATCAACCACGTAAAATTTCATAACCTATTGAGAATACCCAAAGAAAAATATGTGCCTTCTAAAACTCTGGTATAAAAAGCACACTGCTTGAAGACAGCTTAAATTTCCCCACACTCCAATTCTACCAACACATTGTTCTCTAGAACAATTAGAATTTAATTCCTGAAACCTTGTTTTAATTTCAGATTTTTAAATGAATGTATAAATTATACCTGTGACCTTACTGAAAAGATCCATAATCATGACAAGAAATGAAAAATGAAATGGTAGAGACATATACTGTCAAACAGGCATTACAATCAGACTCATCTATAAAACCACTATAATTATTTTTCCTTTTTATATTCCTCAAGAATAAACTTATGGGAAAAGTTTTATGTCTTTAACCTGTTGCATGAGGTATTGAGTTGTTTTAATAACAAAATAATTATTATCTCCATAGGCTTTTATGATACTCATCATTCCCTATAAAAAGTTCAATAGTTATCAACTTACCAGCATATATTTGGGGATTTTTTTTTCTTCTCTCTATTGTATTTTACCACTCTAACTCATATTTTACTATTCCCTTGGCCCAGGAGTACACAGAAGAAATAAAATGATATTCAAGTTGGTTTCACAGACAGTAAACATACATTATGAAATTGAAACATGCTACACTTATTGAGCATATATTTTAGAAGAACTTTCTCTAAAATACTTTATGACTAAAACCATAATCTGGAACTATTCACTCTCCTTGATTTTAGATTCTGTGTGGCTTCATGAAATATTTACTTTTTTAAAAACACAGTTCAAAATTATAGCCCCTCTGAATTACACAATTTAGGTAAAATACATCTTTTCAGCTGGAAAACTAGAAGCCATTAATCCTTTGTATGATTATATGGAGAACAGAGGTAACAAAGAAAAACTAGAGTAATCTAATTCTGGGATACACAGGTTGTTGTAAATTTTTAGATATTCTGAGTCAATCCTTGTTTTTCCCACTTAAGTCCCTGAATGTTTCAGAGATTTGTCCAAAGTAACATGGAAGCAGACTAGACCCCCGATGTGCTAACATCTAATCAAGCTATCCCTAGACCCTCTTGTGCTGAGTATGTCAGTTAGAACTCTAGGTCACAGTTGTACTAACCTGCCAGAGCTGCCTACATCCAGTGAAAGACACCATATCTTATCAGTATCAATATATTAGGGTTGATATTACATGAAACTATAGCCACGTGGGTGAGTATAGGAGTCAGATGTATAAGAATCATGTCGGAATCTGCCATAGAATTGTCTAAATCAAAGATTCACAAGACTTATAACTACCTGGAAGGTGCGTGTGAACTAGCAAATATGTTGGCCTCAAAGTTTCACAGCTTGATGACACTAGCTCTGCACCAAATATTGACTCTTCCTCCTTTAGAAAGTCACGTCTCTGATCTCACTATGAATTGCTGGATGTGATTAATGTCCATCTAGTTGTAGGGAGACTATGGTGAAATGCTAACCAAATCTTTCCTATAGTCACCCACTTGGGTATATATTGTGCATATACAACTGGGCAACTCTATTCTGTTGTAAAGCTTGAGTACTAGATGCAATGGACAGCAATAGCCTAGGTAGCCACTAGGAAGAGAGAGAGAGCATTTACACTGGTGATAATAATGACCATCACACACTCCCCCACCTGGAGGAGAAGGTACTATACTCCTCTTTTCCTATCCCCAAAAAATATGTGGGTAAGTGGAGAAGGTGGGGAATAAATGAGTATGAAGGGTTATTTTAGATAGATTAGATAATTTTATACTAGATAATCTCTCATTACATTTAATAATTCTATAATTTAATTAATTTGAAAATGCTACATCTGGTTGGTTTCCAGTGGAATGAATGTGGCTCAGTTTTAGATTCTTAGAGCATTGAAGTCTACTAGACCTTGAATTGGTTCTCTACTCTTGGGAATACCATTCTGCATATAGAGAACTTCTTACTTTATACAATCAATTTGGTTTCAGTACTTACAAAAATCAACACATTTTCAAAAAACATGTTATGATGTGCATTTTCACTTACCTTTTCCGCTGATTGAGCGGTGCCAAAAAAAATTGGAATGAAGGCAAGCCATACTATACATGTCGTGTACATAGTGAATCCAATGGGCTTGGCTTCATTAAAATTCTCTGGTACACCCCGAGTCTTGATGGCATACACAGTACATGTGACCATGAGAAGAATGCTATATCCCAAGGAGCAAATGATTTGGAGATCTGTAATGTCACACTTGAGAACTCCTCTGGCTTGCTCAGGGTTCATCGTCTTATGTTCATCATAGTCTATGATGATGTTGGGTGGATCAACACCAAACCAAATGAAAACCCCTAGAAGCTGAACTGATATTAAACTGGAAGTGATTGCCAGTTGTGATGTTGGGCTTATGAGTCTGGGAGCTGTTACCGATTTCTTGCCCTGCTCAAATATGCGATAAATCCGATTTGTTTTCGTCAAGAGGGCTGCATAACTGATGCACATACCCAAGCCCAAGAAAACACGCCGGAAAGAACACACTGCCACATCAGGTTTGGCAATCATCAGGAAAGTGATGATGTAGCAAAGAAAGATGCCCGTCAAAAGAACATAGCTGAGTTCCCGCCCAGATGCCCGGACAATGGGCGTGTCATTGTAGCGGATGAAAGTGGCCATAACAAAGATGGTGGCAATGATCCCCAACATTGCCAGGAAGACAGGAATCACAGCCCAGGGGGAGTGCCACTCCAGTTTGATGATGGGAATATCTTGGCATCCAGTTCGATTTTCATTGGGCCTCTGGTCATAGGGACAATGCTGGCATGTCATCTCATCAAACTGGTACTGGTAACCATCGCAAGGCTCACAGGTCCAACAGCAAGGAGTTCCTTTCTGTGTCTTCTTTCTCTGTCCAGGCTTACATGGTAGTGTGCACACTGAGGGAGGTATCTCTCGGACTCCTTTACCCCACTGCATGTCTTCTATCTGTAACATAAGAAAGAAGAAGGTGAATCAGGCAGATTCTTCAAGAGAGTAGAAAAAGAACACCAGCAACAAACAGTACTCATGGCAAGTGACATTTCAGCTGTGATGAGGTTGAATTAGCTTTCCCTCAGCTTGCAAGAGTTACAAGTATGATTTGAGCCCATACCATAGGACTCCAGCATCCTCGCTCTTCACCATTAGTGTGTTCTCAACATGCCAGATCTTAAGAATTCCCTGAGGCGATACAAATTCCCTCTTCCCATTCCTGACTTTCCAAATATGAACATCCTGAAAAAGAACCTTAGGGGCTACATTTATAACAAGTGCCCAGAGGATTCTTGTGAGCAGATAAATTGAGAAAAACTGGCATGCAGTCTACTGTCTTCCCCTGGGTAATAAGTGTAAATGTCCCCAATCAAGTAAAAAACAAAAACAAGAAACTATGGCAGTATGAAAAGCTACACTCACCTCCTTTGTTAGGTGTTTTATTTTTAAAAAACGGTTCTAAAATTATTTTGGATAAAACTGTAGTGCTGGCTATCTTCCCTAAAATTCTGTAAGCATTACTGTCATTTTCACTGAGAACTTTTGCAGCAATGTGAATCTATTATCACAGGGGAGAAGTGGGGCTTACTATTGAAGGCTTTAATTGTATTAGACTATTTCCTATGAATTCAGGAATTATTTGATAAGAAAATAATATGGTCTGGAAACCTTTCAAGGTTGGCCATCCCCCATTTGCAGATGACATTTAGACTATCCTAGAGGAGAATGTATTTGCTTAATTGAAACACTGGTTTTCTGGAGGGCAACATAACCAGCAGTGTTCTGAGAAATAATGGCATTAGAAACAACAGGAAACTTTACTATTGGGTGGAAATCTCATTAGAGTAGGCATCTCTCCTCTTTGCCAGCACAGCATCTGCTCTTTCTCTTCCCTGGTATCAGTTCCTCAGATTCCTTTTCCATATGCTTTCTGTGCAGTTGAACTTACACTGAAGCTCTTGGGTTGTGCACATGACCCAGGCCTAACCAATTAGTATATTGTAGTGGTTCTCAAAATTAAGAATGCATCACAATTATATGGACTTGTTACAATAAAGTCTGCAAGATTTTCTGATTCATTGGATCTGGGATGTGGCCTGAGGAATATGCTTTTTGTTTGTTTGTTTGTTTGAGACTGAGTCTCACTCTGTTGCCCAGGCTGGAGGGCAGTGGCGCGATCTCGGCTCACTGCAAGCTCCAACTCCCAGGTTCACGCCATTCTCCTGCCTCAGCCTCCCGAGTAGCTGGGACTACAGGCGCCCGCCACCACGCCCGGCTAAGTTTTTGTATTTTTAGTAGAGACAGGGTTTCACCGTGTTAGCCAGGATGGTCTCGATCTCCTGACCTCGTGATCCGCCTGCCTCGGCCTCCCAAAGTGCTGAGATTACAGGCGTCAGCCACCGCGCCCGGCCAGGAATATGCATTTTTAACAAGATCCCAGGTGATGCTGCTGAGGATTGTTCAGGAACCACATTAGTCAACTACTGATGCATTCCAACCTCCTGGCCACAGAGATTGGGTCAGAGATGGCATAATTATGTCCCAGGTCATAGAATTTAATATGACTTTTTCTGAGGTCACATAGGATAAAAATATTTGTTTTCATTGGACTCAGAGTTTCTAGGATATAAGGTGGCTAGTGCTGATGGCTAAAAGAAGGAGTTTATTAGAGACAGAAGCCAACATAGAGGGAAGTTAAGTGGAAAGACAAAGATCACTGGTGAGCTTGTTTGAGTTCCTGGATATAGTTATCCCTGAAGCAAGAATTTTCCTAGACTATGACATTATGTAAGCCAATAAATTTATCTATTTTAAAATACTTTGAACTTTATTATTAATCCTTGCAACCAAGAGTCCTGAGCAATATATGCATGAAATAGTTTTAGTATTCACAAGTCACAAAAGATGTACTACCTCTGCAAGTTATACAGAATAATTCCAATTAACAATTAAGGCTGATTTTCCCCATAAGTAGTTAATTGAATTTTTAATACAATTGAACTAAACAATAGACTAGAAAGATACTGGAAAGTCTGAGACATGTTTTCAAGTGCATAATTTTAAGACATAAAGGCAAAAGATAAATAATATATTGCATACTGGAATTTCAGTGTTGCGTTAATATACTGAATGAAATGCATAGCAGAGAGTGATTCTTCCATCAATGCTTGAATGTGAACTACATTCAAATTCTGAATTGGATGTAGTTAACTCAGAAAAATAAATGGCTCAGGAGTTAAACTTGGTAAAACAGCATAACCTTTTAATGGTTGAATTTAAACTTTAACCAGAGACCCAAGTATCTTCAGATGACTCTAGTGTGAACTTATTTTACCAAGCACAAAACCCAAGTCAGCACTAATAAATCACTAACTATAAAGCACAATCTTCTCTTTCTCAATATGATAATTTTTGAGACAATAAGTCACTGGAAGCCATCTCAAAGTCATAAAATTAGGGAAATAACTTATGACAGGAGAGAAAGATATGCATTAACTTTACAAATGTCAAATTTCAAGAATTGGAAACTAAAAAAATTGCTGGTATTAATACAACAAAGATAAATACATTTGCTTGATTTCAACATTAGTGGTTACTAATGTGCCACATAATTAAACTTTATAGGAATAAATGTAGGGCTCCTACAAATATATAAACAAATTATCATCATATGTAATACTTTACAGCCAGTTTCAAATGCTGCCAACTCATTATTTTTCCGTTGGAATAAAATAAAATACCTGGCAATGCTGCACAGCTTTTTATTTTCTCAACTTATCCAAATATATACAAGAGCTGTAACCATGGACATCACACTGACTGATCGCTTCATTTGTTTTCATTTTTCGTTTAAAGCAGGTTTCAACTCAATTTAATTGTATATGTTAAACCAACAAAGATTCCTCCTGCTCCAGATGGATAAAAGTCTCATTTACTCCCTTTGCTAACAAAAATCATTATTGAAAATATAATCTGTGTTCCACGAAGGTACTGATTAACCTTTAAAAGCTCTAGTAAATGAGAATTTTGTTAATATGATGTGTATCATTTGTATATATCTACACCCATCCACACAGATATGCTGCCTTGTTTCATAAGAAATAATCAGCTGCAAATGCCCATGGGTATCTATTTTAAAGGAAGATAATTATTTAATGCTATGAAAATCAAGTCTAATGTCAGTTTACTTTTCAAGAAGGCTAACAGGAATGTAAATTTCAAGTTTCTCCTAAACTCTGCAAAAAAACTGTTTTTCAGAGTTAGCTGGAAAGCCAGATGTAAGGTGCAGAAAGATTAAGAAAAAGACTGACGTGTTTATCATCTTCTTCATTAGAAGATGCAAGTTTACATTTCTCCATAAAGATGCATTTTCCCCCTGGACATCCAAGGTTTATGGCTTTAGGGTACCTGGTCTGCTTAGTAGGTGGCTCCTGGGGAAGGGCTCTTGAGATCCTAGCTTTTGGCAAGAGAACAGAACTTTACATCTCCATCTCATAGCAAAAACTGACACTATACATGGCAAATAGATTGCATAGATAAATGGATCAATAGTTTAGGCAAAGAGCAAATTATGCAGTTCTGGTCAAAGAAAGCAAAAATAAGCTGCCTGTAGAGTCCTAGGAAAGTGTTTTTCATTCTTATACAAGTGGAACAAAGAATGAATATGCTATTGTTAACTTAAAAAAAGAAACTCGGACAGACACGCTGTCTGGAACAAAAGATTTCATTTGGGAAGAGCAAAGGGTTGTAACCCGGGGTGTGCAGCACACCCAAGCAAAATTAAGACAAAGGAAAGACACCCACACAAATTGCTTTGAAAGAAAGGTCACTGGTCTCAGAAACTCACTACAGGAGTTGTCATTAGTTCACTGGGGGAGGTAGTCATTGGTAGGCAACTGTCCTGATCTGAGGTTCTTATATGAAATACTGTAGGCCAGAGAAAATTCCTGTGAGAAGCTCTTCTTGCTGTTTGCAAGCTATGAGCAAGACATTCAGGGATGCAAGTATGTCAGCTTCTTTGTTATGGCCCTCACTAACTATTTTGGTTAGTGTTTTGACATGTGACTCTATTTTGTACTTCTCACTTCCACACTGCCTTCAGCCTTTGAACTTTGATTTGTGCATACATGATGGTTGGAGCTATAGTAGCCATTTTTCAACAAGAAAAAGACAAGCTGGCTGGGCACAGTGGCTCACGCCTGTAATCCCAGCACTTTGGGAGGCTGGGGCAGGTGGATCACGAGGTCAGGAATTCAAGACCAGCCTGGCCAACATGGTGAAACCCTCTCTCTACTAAAACTACAAAAATTAGCCTGGCATGGTGGCAGGCACCTGTAATCCCAGCCGGTCAGGAGGCTGAGGCAGGAGAATTGCTTGAACCTGGGAGGTAGAGGTTGCAGTAAGCCGATATTGCACCTCTGCACTCCAACCTGGGCAACATAGCAAGACTCCGTCTCAAAAAGAAAAAAAAAAAAAAAAGCCTAAGACACACAGCTCATATGCTGAGGATGGCAAAAAATAAAGAAGACAGAAAGACAGACTAAAAATAATTTACACCTCTGAAGGCAAAGTTATGTCACCAACTGTCTTTAATGGTTAACCAGTTCTCCATGGGCCATCTACTAATTGTTGTCAAGCATTCCATCTAATATATTTTCTCTTATTTATGCATTTGGTACAAGCAAACCTTCTGAGTGTATCAGAAAAATTCACCAATAATTCAAGATCTTACATGGATAGTAGGCAACTCTAGAAAGAAATGGAAGTTTTTGTCTTTGTCTCCTGAGAATGCTCAGAAAAAGGTGTGGTAAAGTACTGAATTCAGAAAATAAGTTTTGACTCCATTGCTTCTGACTCAGACAGAATACAGAAAAAGCACCACCAGCTAAAGTTTTCTAGCACACATGTTAGGGGAAAAAATGGTGTCTGGCTCTAGTAGAGAGACAAAGCTACTC